ATAAGATGAAGTCCTGCCATCCTTGCCCCTAAGGATCTGTGCTTTTTCAAAGACTACTCCATTTGTTCTTTTGTCAGTCCATGGTACTTTCAATATTCTTTGCCAACACCATAGTTCAAATGCTTCATTTCTTCTTTGGTCTTCCTTATTCAATATGCAATTTTCACATGCATATGAAGTGATTGGAAAAAACCTGACTGTGTGAAGTGCAGCTTAGTCCTCAAAATAACATTTTTGTTTCCAGGACTTAAAGAGGTCATTTGAAGCAGATGTATCCAGTGCCACACGTCATTTGATTTTTTTGACTGCTGCTTCCATGAGCATTAATTCTGTTCACGTAACTGCCATGGCTCAAGTTCTGCAGAAACAAACTGAATTGTTCTGGGATGCTATTGTTATGATTCACTTAGTCAATATCTTTTTAGTATTCTCTTCTTTGAGCCAAAATCCATTTGACATCATCAATGACATATTTTTTCCAAGTCCTCTTCTGAATCTGGCCTGATCTTGGCAGCTCTCTGTCAATGTACTGCTGAACCACTGTTGGCTGATACTCAGCACGATTTTACTTGATAGGATATTAAGGATATTGTTCTATAATTTGAGCATTCTTTTGCTTCACCTTTCTTTTGACTGGGGACAGATATCTTCCAATCAGTTGACCAAGTAGCTATCTTCCACATTTCCTGGCATAGCTAAGTAAGTGGCTCCAAGGCTTCATGTGAAACATTTCTATTGATATTCCGTCAATTCCTGGAACCTTCGGTTTGGCTAATGCTTTCAGTGAAGTTTACTGAAGAGTGTTCTTCAATACCATTGGTTCTTCAGGTCATTCCACTGGTTCTTGCTCATATCCTACCTCTTGAAATGCCTGCATGTGACTCGTTCTTTTTGATGCAGTGACTATGCATTATTTCTTTCTTCTTTGGATGCTTCTTACATCCTTCAATATTTTGCACATAGAATCTTTCAATATTGCAAATCAGGGCTAGAATTTTTCTGAGATCTTTCAGTTTGATTTATTCTGAGCATATTCTTTCTCCTTGACGTTCTAGCTCTCGGTCCTTGCACATTTCATTATACTATTTTACTCTGCCTTCTTGAGCTGCGTTTGAAATTTTCTGTTCAGATCTTTGACTTCATCATTTCTTTGGTTTGCCTTAGCTATTCTATGATTAAGAGCAAGTTTTAGAGTCTTTTCTGACATCCATTTGACATTATTTTTCTTTCCAGTCTTCTTAATGACCTTTTATTTTCTTCCTCTATCGTATTCTTTATGTCATGCCAAGCTCATTGGTCTTTTGTCATTCGTGTTGAATACAACAAACCTGTTCTTGAGATGGTCGTAACATGTTCGTGGAATATCCTCAACATCATATATTGGCTCTGTGGACTTGTTTTATTTACTTTTCAACCTGAATTTATATAGGAGCAATTGGTATTCTGTTCCACATTCAGCCCTCGCCTGGTTTTAGCTGCAGATGTAAAACTTCTCCATTCTGTCTTCCCACAGAGGTAAACAATTTGATTTCTATTTATTCCATCTTGAGAAGTCCACGTGTTTAGTTGACTTTTGTGTTGTTCAAAAGGGTATTTGCGACGAGGAGGCATTGTTCTTGCAAAATTCTATCACGTGACCTCCAGCTTCATGTCTGTCACCGAAACCATATTTTCCAACTATCGTTTCTTCCTCTTGTGTCCAACTTTTTCACTTTAATTAGCAATTATTAAAATGCACTTTTAGCTTTCCACAAAGGTTTGCTGCCAGAGCACTTATTTCAGTGAAAACCAACACAGATATCTAAGTCCAAGTTTGGAAAGGAAAAGTCTCGTATCACTATCATTGTCATTAAACATGTTGACTCTGGCAAATCCACCGCCAGTGATTACCTGACCTACAACTGTGGCAGGGTCGATAAAAGGACAACTGAACAATTCGAGAAGGAGCTGCTGCGATGGGGAAGGGCTCCTGCAAGTCTGCCTGGGTCTTGGATACGCTGCAATCTGAACGTGAGCATGGCATCTGTCTATCTCCCTGTGGAACCCCGAGACAAGCAAGTACTACGTGACCATCACCCATGCCCCTGAGCATAGAGACTTTATTTTAGAAAGGATTACCGGAGAGGCACAGGCTGACTGTGCTGGCCTCAGTGTCGCTGCTCGTGTTGGTGGATTTGAAACTGGTCTCTCCACGAATAGGCAGACCCGTGTGCATGCCCTTCTGGTTTACACATGGCGGGTGAAACAGCTACACAATTGTTCATATTAACCAAAAGGCTTCTGAGCCACCCATCAGCCAGAAGAGATATGATGAAATCATCAAGGAAGTCAGCAGCTACAGTAAGAAAATTTGCTACAATGCGGGCACAGTAGCATTTGTGCCACTTTCTGGTGTGATTGGTAACTACATGTTAGCGCCAAGTGCTAACATGCCTTGGCTTGAGAGATAGGTTTCCAGTTAGAGGCCAATGTCCGTGGAACTAAACTGCTTGAGGCTCCGGATTGCACCCTGCCACCAACGTGCTGATCTGACAAGCCCCTAGGCCCGCCTCTACAGGATGTCTACAAAATTGGTGGCACTGCCTCTGCCCCTGTGGGCAGAGTGGGAACTGGTGCTCGGAAACCTGACATAGGGTTCACCGCTGCTCCGGTCACCTTTACGACGGAAGTGAAGTCTGTCGACATGTATCATGAAGCTTTGAGTGAAGCTCTGCCTGGGGACAATGTCGGCTTCGATGTCGATAATGTCTCTGTCAAATATATTCACCTTGGCAATGTGGTTGCTAACAGCAAAATTGACCCACCCATGGAAGCAGCTGGCTTCACTGCTCAGGTGATCCACCTAAACCATTCAGGCCAAATCCGTGCCGGATGCACACCTGTGTTAGATTGTCCCACTGCCCATGTTCCTGGCAAGTTTGCTGAGCTCAAAGAGATGACCGATCACCACTCTGGTTAGAAGCTGGAAGCTGGCCCCAAATTCTTGCAGTCTGCTGATGCTGCCACCATTGACATGGTACCTGGAAAGCCCGTGTGTGTGGAGAGCGTCTCTGACTGTCCTCCCGGGTTGTCTTGCTGTGGGTGACATCAAGGCAGTGGACACAAAGGCTGCTGGAGCTAGACGGCCACCACGTCTACTCAGAAGGCTAAATTCATAGCACCCCAATAGACGCCACCCAAGACTGATCCGTGGTGGAAAAGCAGTCTCAGAACAGGTGGCCTCAATTGGCCATTTAAATTTAGTCGCAAAAGACTGGTTAACGATAAAATGCATTGTAAAATTTTCAGAAGAAAATTAATGCTTTGTGGACCATATGTTAGTTTTGTATGTGGCAGTTTTCTGTTATTAGATTTTAAAATTAGTCCTTTTAAAATAAACGCAACGGCCCAAAATCTGGCACATAATTTTGAGACCCATTGAAAGAAAGTTTATGACGGCGGGGGGAAAATGGATGCACCTTGATTGCCTTTTTGATCCATTCAAGACTGATGACTTTGGTAGAATTCTTCAATTCCTGCATCACTAGCGTTATTGTTTGGTATCTAGACTTCAACAATAGTTGTATTGATTGGATTTCTTTGTATATGGATAGACATTATCCTACCAAAGATAGTATTTCACTTCAAGCTCGATCTTGAAATAGCCCTTTTAAGGATTAACACAATGCCAATTCTCTGTGTCATTCCCAGCAGAATAAACCGAATGATTTTCTGATTCAAAATGCCCAATATCAATTAATTTCAGTTCAATGATACCAGAAATAACAATTTTCATGTGTTCCATTTCATTTTAATGAGTTCCAATATCCTAAATTCATACCGTATAAATTCCAAGTTCAAATTATTAATTGATGTTCACAGCTGTTACTTCTCATTTTCAGTCACGTGACACCAGCCAATGAAGGTCTGGAAGGCTTCACACCTGAAGGTTTTACTCCTTCCGTGTTATCATGACTGACTCGGCTCTCAGTGATACTTTGAGTGCTTTTGATCTTCGAGCACAATCTCTGACCATGTGCTCCTGTGCTTTTATGATTTTATGATTTTCAGTGACAGGCAATGTTTCAAACAGGCTATCCACAGTGTTTACATTGACTAATTCCTCCAAAGTGGTCATGGAACGTCTGTTTCTGCCTAGTCTGCTCTGAGTCTGGAAGCTCTGCTGACGCTGTTCCCTCTGGGTGACCGTGTGGCACAGCTTTCATCATCACAGCAACACAGAAGCCACCACAGTGTGACACACACACACCGACAAGCGGTGGCTTGCCATACCATTAAGGTAAGGTGACCAGATTTTAACATTGGTAAAGCGGGACAAAAGCGAGACACCATGGATAAAACCCATATCCTGGTGAAATAGCCACATGGCAGCTGAAAACTGTATACCCTAGCTTGTCCAAAAATCGGGACTTTTTTAAAGCGCCGTGGGACACAGGAAAAATTGTTAAATATCAGGACTGTCCCACCCAAAGTGGGACATCTGGTCACCTTACATTAAGGGATACTTTCTAAATAATAATATTTTGATATTTTAAGTATTGTTTATTGAGAATTTTTGACATATAGTCAGTCACTCTGGAACCATAACCTGCATCACGATATAGAATGTTACCATCTCCTCATAAATGTTCTTCATACCTGATTACAGTTCACTCTCCAAGGACTGGAGCCCTACTTTCTATAGCAGTAGCTTAAAGACATTACCTGGAAGCGTCCAAGTTACTTGCCTTATCTTGGGGTTCTGTTCTGTGACTGTTGTAAATTGATTCTCACTTGTGCACTACATCTTTTTTTTTAGTTTAGTTTTCATTGTTATTACTATTTTAAAATATTTTATTGTGAATATTGTGAGGTGAGGTGTTATATTTCTAACCATCACTTTTGTGTTCAGTAGTTTAATTTACTTGTCAACCACCCAATAGCTTACTCTCTCCTGCCTCCTTCTTTCACGTATTACAAGCTGGTTTACCCAAGTTAATACCTATAACCCCTTTATTCTTTTTTGCAAATGCAGTCCCCCACTACCACAAATTATGCAGTTGAGTTTCCCACATTTGGGGAAATCCAGGGGTCAGCACACCCGGCCTGCAATGCTTGGGCCTCTCCCTGGGAAATCTGCCTTCATTATCATGGTATCTCCCCTGCCAGGTTAAGTACAGTAACCCCTTTATTCTGTTGCTTCAACTTCCCCTATCTTACTCCCTCCCTCATTAACCTCCAAAGTGTGTTACCTTTGAAAGGAAAGTCTTTATATTGTCTTTTCCCTCAAACAATATTTTCCCTTTTGTTATTGAATAATTTCACTCAGTATAATGACTTCTAGGTCAGTCCATACCATGGCATGCCTGATGGTGTCATCATTGTTGTTTAGAGGGGATTGAGGTTAAAAAAAAAATGAGGTTAGAATGGTTGTTAGGTGGTCTAAGTGTAACCCAATGAAATGCTTCCTAATTTGGTATCATCCTCACAGTCTTTCCTATGTTGAGCCTCTCGTTGCATCCACGGAGTCAATCTGTCTCCGTGAGGGCCTTCTTCCTTTCCGGTGATTGTCTACTTCACCGAGCTCCAAACCACAGATGATATTTTAAGAAAGTCTGTGGAAGAGCAGTTGCATAAAGAAAAATGTAGATGTTCATATATGTTATAATTTTGTTCCCAGCTTAAACCTAATTCAAAGGTCAATATAGGATAATTTATTCCAAACTAATGTATGGAGTCTAAAATACTAAGCATAATGTTCTTCTCAAGATACCGGTTCCTTCTGTAAAAACTATATGAGATGAACTTTTGCCATCCTCACTGATAAGAAACATTTTTGCTATTCTTCCAAGGCATATATATTTTTTTTTTCTGAAAGTCTATAGTATACCCAGTATTATTAACCAATAGCATATTAAAATAAGTAAATTCTTCTTCAGTCTTCCTTATTCAATGTCCAGCTCTCACATTTATATAAAGCAATTGAAAATACCGTGGCTTGGGTGAGTAGCATCTAGTTCTCAAAGTGACATCTTTGGGATTATTACATGTCCTTCTCGCTATTTAGCAGAGAGATACTCATCTGCTCTGTTCGGGATCACTAATAGACTTGTGACTATGTAAGTTTGTGTGTGTGTGTGTTTATTTATACAAAATAGGCAGGATAAGCAATCCTACAAAGGCAACGACAGGACCTACGATTCCTCGGGGGCATGGGAGAGAAGGAGGTGGGGGGCAGAGAATGGTGATCCAATAAAGACAGGTGCAAAGGAATAGTAAGCCTTCTAAAATGGATGACAGGCAGGATGTAGTTTTGCTGGTTGTGTGTGATCAATAGAATTGTATCTGGGAGGCATTACTGAGAGGTAAATGGTGGGTAAACATGATAGTGAGGCAAGAGGAAAGAAAAAAGAAACAGAGGAAAGAAGAAGGAAGAAAAGGGAAAAAATAGGTATACATGCATGTGTATATGTAAATATATAAATCTTTAAATACAGGTATATTTGTTTATATAAGTATATAAATACAAATGCAACAAGGAAGCACATAGACTTTGCGCATCTACTTAAATCTGACCTCAGTACAAGAACAATTTTCTCCAATAGCGTGGCACTGTATGATACGCACCTTCCCACAATGATCGCTGCAGATAAAATGGGTACATAAGTAAATGTGGTGAAGAAAGCTAATTGTGCTTGGCTATTAAAAGATAGAGAGTCTAGGGTCTTAAAGGCTTGTAGTCAAACAAGCAGCCATCTAGCAGGGAAGCAACAAAGTCCACATGGAAGAAGCACACCAGCATGAGTGATCATGAGGTGCCAATGAGAAAAGGTGTCAAAAGTTCAAAACCAAGCACCCAAATTGATGTGAAGGGGTGGGGATATAGTGGCAATCCAAAACCTACCTGAAAGTTAATTTGACAGTCCTTCTCAGAATGGCCACATGGAAAGGATGATAAATCCAGGGTGTGGATAGCACTGATGAAGCACATAACTATCCTATAGTTCTTTAACATTTCCTCTATTATTTTTTTATTTGTTTTGCCTCATTAATCATGTTAGACTTGTGTGTTAGTCTGGGTAGACTAGAGAAACAAATCTATGGACACACATGTGTATGAGAAATAGATTTATATACAAGAGCAACTGAACATTGAGAAAACATCCCAGCCCAGTCCAGATCAAGTCCATAAGTCCAATATTAGCCCATATTTCTAATATCAATCTGTATATCAATCTGATATCAATCTTCAGACTCATGAAACACATTCAATGACACCGGATGCAGAAGATCATAGGCCAGTGGGTAGAAAGTCTTTGGATCCAGCGTCATTGGAAACATCTCAGTGCTGGAAGGGGTCTCTCTGAGTGACTTCTCCGGCTTCCGAGGTCTGGTTGTGTTCATGTGCCATGTCTTCCGCAATGTCTCCCAGGAGGTAGCAGAGAGAGAGAGATGTCTTCTGCCTCCAAGGAGGAAGTACCAGATTTCCCAGAATTCTCAGAAGGCCATGCCCTCAGAAGTCGCCTTGACTATCTCCAGATTGACAGCCTAGACTCCACCCCTACACTCTTAATCCTTAAATTAACACCAGATTAGGTGACTACCACAATTTGTGTATGTTAATTTGTATAAAGATCACTTGGTACCCAAAAGCCAAGGCAGATAACCCTTCAGAAACAATAACAGGAGTAATGGTTGCCTGAGAGAATGGGAATCAGGGGTGGGGGTGGGGGGTGGGGGGGTTGAGAGAGAAAAGAAAGGGGCAGCTGATAGCACTCATGATTGTGTAACCCCACATGAGGGGAGCAAACAACAGAATTGTACATAAATGGATTGATTGGATGGCATAAGATTCGGCAAAAAATAAATAAAAATAAGGTTCCTAGGGGGAGTGGGAGGGGATAAAGGGGACCTGATATCAAGGAGTTCAAGAAGCAAAAATATGTTTTGAAACTGACTGTTATAAGCAGTTGTACAATACTGCCTGATATGATTGAACTAGGGATGTATGATATCTGTAAGAGCTTGCAATAAAATTATTTTTTTTAAATACTACAAAAAGTAAATGTTGAAAAAAAAAAACCTTAACAATAAAAATTTTTTTTAAAAGTCTTTTGCAGCAGTTTTTCACAAAGCATTATATCAGTTGATTTGTTAACTTCTCTTTTCATGGCCGTTAATTACGGAGCCAAGTAAAACGAAATCATTGACAAAATCAATCTTTTCTCCAGCTAACATAAAGTTGCTGATTAATCTAGTTTTCATGAGTTTTTGTTTCAGCTTTAAAGAAAAACAAAGGATTACTGAAGGAATGTGTTTCACTTTAAAGCCGTTGATACATGACCACATGACACTCCATTATGTGTAATTGCAGCAATGTAAAATAGTACATTTGAAATTTAAATAACTGCCTATGAAGATAATCAAGTTTTCATATCTAGCCTCTGTCTCTTTAGATCCTTCGAAGAGAAGAAAGGTTGAGAGCGAGCGTGTTTTACTCCCTGTGCTCATTAATTTGTAAATTCTTGTCTTTGAAATACCGGCCTTACAAGGATGTTTTCTCTGATTGGTTGTGGCAGACACATTACTGTCATGTCACACAGCATGCTGCCTCAGAGAGCTGATTAATGTGGAATACTTGGTTAGATGTGAGAAAACATTGGTCGGTTGATTTTTGGATTGAATTAATAATGCAATATATAAATTCATGCAAGACACTACCAATGTGCAGCATTTATCTTAATCACGGTGAAAGGTAATTGAACTGATTTATATTTTGGGATTCAGTAAGTCATTATCATGGATTCAATTCTGTCCCCCTGCTCCCCAAATATGTGTGAACTGGTCTTGCCCATGATACTTAGTAATTTGGCAGTTACATAATGATGTATCATGGGAGTTATGTAACAACATAATTATGCACCATGATGCAATCAATCAATTAGTTGTAAAGGGATTAGGGTTCGATTCAACCTTACTCAGGTCACTGACTGATCCAGTGTTAAGTGAAATTTCCCCGAGGCATGACAATTTGAATCCACCACTTAATCTACAGGTGAAAGATGAGGCAGTCAGTCTATTCCTGTAAGACTTACTGTTCCAATCTCTTTTATAAGACCTGTCTGAGTCCGAATAGGTTCAATGGATCTTTTGTCTTACAAGAGTAAAAGGAGACAGAAGCAAGCAGAGAGAAAGGGTGGTGGCTACACCAAGAAAGGTCCAGGAAGGGTGATTGTCCTTTTAACCCAGGGCTTCTGCGCTGAGGACATCCGAGACCAAGAGCATAGTGGAGACATCCCAAAGACACAGGGCCCACTTTTATTGAAAAGACAGAAAAATAAATAAACTTCCTCTAGAGCTGCCAGAGAAAGCCGTCCTCTCTAGCTGCTACACAGAATTTGCACTTCTAGCCTCCTGGAATTTGAGAGAATACTTTTCTGTTTATTAAGACCATCTACTTTTGGAATTTCTGATATAGCAACACAAGATAACTAAGAAGGTAAAATTTCATGTATTTTCAACAAGCCAAATAAATTTACTTAAAAGACATTATTTGAAAAATATGGAAGCTTATAACTTTAGATATATGCAATAGGTATTTTGTAATTTGTGTTCTAACAATAATCTTTTTTTTAATAAAATAACTTCCCCTTATGATTGAGAAAAAAAGGATAGCTTTTTATGCCTTACCCACCCAAGGTATATAGTTTATTTTTATAATCACCAATATTACATCATAAAGTTTGGTTCATTAATATTTTTGTAATTAAAAGAACATTTTATTGGGGGCTCTTAAAACCCTTATAACTATCCATACATCATTTGTATCAAACACATTTGTCATATGTTTCCATCATTCTTTTCCAGACATTTACTTTCTATTAAGCCATTGATATCAACTCCTCTTTGTTCCCTCCATTCCCCTTCTCCACCTCGTGACCCTTTGATAAGTCATAATTATTATCATTTTCATATCTTACAACAACCACTGTCTCCCTTGCTCCATGGTTTCTGTTATTCTTCCCCCTGGAGGGTGTGTGTGTGTGTAGTTATGTGTTGATCGCTGCAATTGGTTCCCCCTTCCTTCCCTGCTCTGGTATCGCTGTTCCAGCTCCTGTTCTTGGACTTGGTGGATCATGGGCTGTTATCTCTTATCTGTACCTGTGTCCATGCTCCGG